TTTTTAAGTAATTGTTTTTAAAAAATAAACCGGTCATTTTAACCGCTTTGGTAGTTCTAGTTCTGTTAAGCCATAGGACCACGGATGCTGGGTAGGCTAGGAAAGATTACGAAGAAATTGGCGTATAGCAAAAAGACAAGAATAAATATATTTCAAAATTGTTAATAAAAAATGTTCTCCGTTTTTTATTAGATAAATTGTTTTAAATATAATTTATTAATATATTTACGTTTATGTAAAAGAATTTTCTTTTTCATTTTTAGTTTATATTTGTGATACGTACATATGTATTTAAAAACTTTCTTACTTTTACTTTTCAACGCCAATTTATATAATATTTAACCTTGGAAAGATATAAAAAGATAAACCACTTACCGTAGGGAAGGAAGAAAAAAAGTATACACATTTACACAAAAAAAAAAAGAATTTTGCTATCGCAATAAAATAATCGTTGATATTGCATGTTAAATATGTTAGCGATAAAATTTCGCTATTGTAACTACTTTTACAGATTATTTGATGTGCAACAAATCTGTTTTGTTCAAAAAATCGACAAATTTTGGCATCAGAAAACAAGTTAAAATTTGCTGTTACGACAAAATAATTTATTTTTAATAAATTAATTTTATTATTGCAATGAAATTGTCGTCACTAATACAAATTTCGACAGTAAGATAAAAATTTTCTTATTATAAATTAGCAATATAATTTGCAGATTTAACAAAACTAATCTTGACAAATAAAATTAATATCTATAACAAATCTCTTTCCTGTTCAAATAATAATTAATTGTCAGAAATTTTGCTACGATAGCTTATATAAAATTTACTGCGGCAGCAAATACTTTTTTTCCATGTATTAACAAGTTTTTTCTTTTATTTTATGTATAATCTTATTTTTTTAAATATTTTTTATCTTCTATTTTTTTTCATATAAAAAAATATATAAATAAATATATAAACAAAATATATAAACAAACATAAGTACATTATTGAGGATAAAAATATATTGAGTTATTTAGAAATTTGTAATCATTTTTATAATAAAATTGAAAACAATTTTTATGTTTAGAGTCATCTTTGTTCAGTAATATGTTGTTTTCGACAACTTTTGGCCATCTTTAACAACTTGTGCATGCATTACTAAATAAAGATATATAAACATATAAAAATTGTTTTCAATTCTGTCATAAAAAAATTCTACAAACTCTCCGAATAATTCAATATATCTTGCTCTGATCCGTCAATCATGAAATATATTTAGGAAATGTTTCAGGGTTAAATATTGTTCAACGCATCTAAGTCTTAGCCTATCCATTTAAGATATTGGATCGAAGAAATAGTGTACTTTTCATATTTTTATTTAAAGTTTTCTTATGTATGATTGTATTTTTAATATTATATGATTAATATTTAATATATATTGATTCGAATTGATTATTAGGCCGATGAAAGTTGATCGGGCTCAATCAAAATCAATTAGAAACACTTTGCTTTTTTTTAATGTACAAC